CTGAAGCCGCTGGAGACGCTGTCGCGCATCGTCAACCAGCCCAGCGGCCTCTTCGGGGCCAAGGGCTCGTCCGGCAAGAGCAAGGCCGAGGGCGCCGGGGGGGCCCGTGAGCCAGGGGCCCAGCCCCCCGATGGAGGTACCCCCACCCCACAGACCCCCCGTGTCATCCCACAGACCCCTGTGTCAGCCACAGACCCAGCGTGTCACCCCATGGATCCCCCACAGAGCCCTCTGTGCCACCCCACGGACCCTCTGTGTCACCCCACAGACCCCTGTGTCACCCACAGCCTCCCCTGTGCCACCACATGGACCCTTCAAGTCACCCCATGGCCCTTCAGGGTCACCCTGTGGACCCCGCCATGGACCCTCTGTCACCCTGTGGACCCTGTATAACCCCGTGGCCTCTCAGAGTTACCCTCTGTATCCCTGTGCCACCCCAGGGACCCTTGGCGTCACCCCATAGACCCCTGTGTCACTCTGTGGATCTCCCATGGACCCCACTGTGTCACCCCAGGAATCCCTGTGAAACCCGATGGCCCTGCTGTGTCACCCTAGGGACCCCTGGTGTCACCCTTCCGTTCCCCCAACACCTCATGACCCCCCATGCCCCCCCAGGTGACCCCGGGGACCCCGAGCCCCCCGAGGAGGACGCGGAGGCGGCGCAGGCGGAGGCGGCCGATGGGGACATGGATGGCGAGGCCGAGGGTGACACGGTKGTGCTGGCAGGGCAACCCGAGGGGCTCAGCACCCAGGAGATGCAGGTCAGGGACCCCTCTCCAAATTCTGAACCCCCCCAAATCTCCCCCCAGCATCCCTGAATCCCACCAAGACCCCTCCCCCAAATCCCCCCCAAACCCTTCGAGACCTGGGCTCAGCACCCAGGAGATGCAGGTGAGGGACCCGCTCCCCAAATTCCCCCAAAATCCTTCAAGACCCCTCCCCAAACCCCCCCCCGTGCCCCCAGGTGGAGAACGAGCTGGAGGATCTCATTGATGAGCTGCTGGAGCGGGACGGCGCCGACGGCAACAGCACCATCATTGGTGAGGGACAGACAGCGGGGTGACCCCAGGACGGCGGGGACAGCTCAGACATTGGGGACAGCGGGGTGACCACCCAGAAAGCAGGGTGACCCTATGGACAGTGGGGACAACGGGGTGACCATTGGACACTAGGGGCAGCGGGGTGACCACTCAGACAGCGGGGTGACCGCCTGGGCAGTGGAGACAGTGGGGTGATGGCCCAGATAGCAGGGTGACCGTCCGGACAGCGGGATGACCCCCCAGACATCAGGGATAGCGGAGTGACCTCTGGATATTGGGGTGGCACCCGGGACATCGGGGTGACCTGTTGGGCATTGGGGTGTCCCCTGGACACCAGGGAGTCCCAGGACATCAGGGACACTGGGGTGAGCCCCCTGGACATCAGGGACATTGGAGGGACCCCCTGACCCCCCATGTCCCCAGTGAGCCGCTCAGGCGAGGACGAGTCCCAGGAGGATGTGCTGATGGACGAAGCACCCTCCAACCTCAGCCAGGCCTCCACGCTGCAGGCCAACCGTGAAGGTGGGGCCGATTCAGGGGGCTCAGGGGGGTTTGGGACCAGAATTCTGGGGGGTTTGGGGGGATCATTTGGGGTTTGGGGGTGGTCAGAGTCCTACAGCCCCCCCCATGCTCCTTCCCAGATTCCATGAATATCCTGAATTCAGGTGGCTTTGGGGCTGGAATTCGGGATTTTTGGTGGGGTTTGGGGTTGGATTTCAGGGGTTTTGGGGCCAGAACTGGGGGCTTTTGGGAGTGTCCCGGTCCTACAACTCCCCTTTGCCTCCTCCCCAGACTCCATGAACATCCTGGACCCTGAGGA